AGATTATTAATTTATTATTATTAATTTATAGTACTTGATCTATGATTAAAATTATCATATTATATTGATAATCATTAGAAAGTAAATTTTATTGAAGAATCATATGAAATTTTTACTTCTTATTTTAATATGCATTATGCACTATCAATGATAGATTTAGAAAATCCATAATTTATTAAATCATATATATAAAAAATAATGTGTAGAAAATATTAATAAAATAGAACATTATCTTAATGCTTCACTTGCATCTTTAAAATTAATTTATTACAATGGTGAAAAGCAAGTAATATATTTTATTAATAATTTTATATTAATTTTAAACTTATTAATTTTATTTTTTTTTAGTTAAATGAATAATAATATCCTTATTTAGCAAAAAATAGCAAGAGATTTTTTAGTTATTCCAAGTAAATAAATTTAAAATTTTATAAAATTTTTATAATTTTAATTATTTAATCAATCTAATTTATATATATTTTTAAGCTACTAGTGTTTTAATAGAAAGAGCATTTTTTAAAAAAACTGATCTAATTACACAAAAAAGATATAATTTATTAACAGAAACAATTAGAATATGTATGTGTTTTAAATCTTAGTGATAAATTATTTTAAAGAAAAAATAAAATTTTTTTATTATGTTTTTTAATTTTAATTTTATTTTTTTTATAATTTTGATTTAAATAAAATAATATATAAACCTTATAATATCATATAATTTAAAATAAATTTTTTATATTTAAATATTTATAAGTTAATTTAAATTTGACTTAAAACTTGATTTGAACTTGACTCAACTCAAATAAATTCAAGTCAAAATTGAGTCAAGTTAAACTCGAGTTGAGTCAAATTAAGTCAAGTTTAAAATTTATATAACTCGAATCAAGTCAAGCTAAAAAATTTATAAAATAAATTTGATTCAACTCAATTTGAAAAAAATAAGTTGAATAAAGTTGATCCTTAAACTCGACTCAACTCAACTTATTCAAAATTCTACTAATTTATAATTAAATTTATATTTTTAAATTAATATTAAATTAAGACTAATTAAAGCTGATTTATAATTAAATTTAAGTTTTGAATTGATCTGAATTATTTTATCTGATTTAATACTAATTTGAATTAATCAAAAAATATATTATTTAGCTATAAATAATGCTATCTGATTTCTAAATAGTTTGAACTATATTGATCAGTAATTTATTTTATTTTATAATATTTAGAATTTCTAATAGTTAATAATTAATATTATAGAAATATTTTTTTTATATATATTATTTATTATTTAAATAAGTGATCTTTATAAAATAACTAAATAATAATTAAATAAAAATTTACATTTAAAACTATTTAATTCTAAGTAAAGATATGTTTATAATAATTAATAAAAAATATTAAATAAAATATTACATATTTTAATTAAAACTTATAATTTAAGTAGAATAATTTATAAAATTATTATACTGATCTTTTTTGATATTTATAGAGTATATAATTTTATAATTTTATAACATATTTTATTCATTTATATAAATAATTTTTTTTGAAAAAAATATCAATACTTTATTTATATTTATAATAAAAAAAAAAAAAAATAGTTTTTTAAGAAATTAATTTATAAATTGTTAAAGTTATTTCTTATATTTTGATAATATTTTTTGTAATAATTTATTAAAACTTCTTTATAATAAAAAAATCAATTATTTTATTTAAAGATACAATATTCTAATCAAAAATTAATAGATATCTTATGAAGCTTTATATAATACTTTTTCTATTTATTATCATAAACATATTCTTTTAATTCTTTATTTTTATATTTAAAAAATTTAAATTTCTTGATTTGTCTATTTTTATATAAAATTTTAATATACTTATTACTATACATATAGTATTTATTATATTTTTACAAAAAGAATTATGTTTATTTTAAATTTAAGATTATAGGTATAATATTAATTAGAGATATAATACATTTATCAAATTGAATATATCAGTTGAAATTTTGCTAAAAAGATAAAACAATATGTTAAATTATCATAGATAATTAGGATTACAGTCATAGGTTACTTTTAATATCAAAGAATCATAGTTTAATACAACAAAGTTATTTATGTTTAAAAATCATATATTATGTTATTGATATTGATAATGAATTGGCGAATCTCCGGAAAGCTCTTATTTCTATGCTACACATTATGTTAAAATGCAGGGGAGAAAGTTTTTGTACATGATAAATAAAGAAAAATAAAATTAATGTCTGTATTTTTTTTATTCAATGTAAAAAGGTTAACGTTTCATTATGTTATGCAGGCAAATTTGCCTACGTTACAGATTAAGGGTTAATGATGTTTATTAAACAAAGTATTAGTTTGAATATAATTATCAAATTACTTCGAATGAAATAGCCAGTCTTAAAGCAGAATATTTAAAAAGTTTGAATATATCGGAAGAAAGTTTGAAAAAGGTTTTTATTAAAAATATTTCATATATTTATTAAACTATAATGAATTTAGTTTTTTATCAATTAAAGAACAAAGTTTTAAAGAGACTTTTTTTTTTATGGTAACAATCGAGCTCTTTCGCCTTCTTCACCACGGACGTATTTAAGATAGAAAGGTTTCAAGATGTGAATTGAAGTAATAATAGCAAAACCAAGAGCGGTCCAATGAATAACTGGATCCGTCTGTTCAACGAAGATTCCGTACAAAGTAAAAGCAATTACAACAGCACCAACAATGTCGCCCTGTGCAGCTTCGATGTAAACAATTGAAGCTTTAAAGCCAAGGATAAATAATCCCAAAACAACAAATGATTTAACTAAAATGCTTGGTGATTCATCCTCCTCCTTAACAGGTAAGAAGGCAGCGTAAATGCTAATAATAAACATTACATAGATCCATGCATTATAAAGAGAGAATGGTGCATGAATAAAGACTTTTTCGTTAAAACTGCCTCCGGCATAATCCGTTTTGATAAGATAATAAACCCTTGAAACTATTGAATAAGTAATAAAAATAGTAATCAATGCAAGGAAAAGATGTTCGCCTCGCTATATATATATATATACATAATTATTTATAAATGTAAGTAAAAATATAGTGCGCTACGTTGAATTACATGAAAGTGGCGCTGTAAAATGCATACCCAGAGATAAAGCCATAAAGTGTTCAACAAGGAAATTCCAACAAATTTCCAGCCAACGCCATCTTCAACAACTTCTTGATTAGAGCTGAAGAATTGATAGATAACTACATAAATTGGTAAAGGGAATAATTCGTTAAATTTTTTTTATCAAAAATAAAAAAGGACAAATATATATATATATTAATTATATTTACCGTAACCACCTAACAAGAAATGTATGAGACCCCCAATACCAAATACAAAAGAAGCTGGAGAAATATAGGTTGGATGGTTTGTACGGTATGGAGAATCATCCTATTATATAATAATAAACGTAAGCCTATTTCAACAAATTCTTTTTTCTTTTGTATAAAAAATAAATACCTCTTCAGGACCAAAGCCGGAGTATACGTTGGCTCCAGTAAGAAAAACATAAGCCAATACGTTTGCAATTTTTATTAAAAGTGGAAAGCGAGCCATGTCGAAAAATTCTTTCGTTACAATTTAGGATTATCTACAAAATGCTAAATATTTACAAGGACGAGGAAAAAAAAAAAGAGATTTCTTTTTGGTAAAAAAATTGTGGTAATGCCTACTTATTATATAGATTATCTAACAAATTATATTCAATTGTTAGTACTCACAACGCCAAAGTACGACAATTTTGCATAATAGGTACAACTTCTTGTTTAGTTACTTAATTTTACATAATTGCAATTCATTGTACAAAAGGTAAGTAACGTTGTAAAATTTGCTTAGCCCCTCCCTACTCAGTAAATTATTTCATCGGAAAAACTTTCCCGATCATTATTTACAATAGAAAAAGTTATATCGATATTGATTTTTTCCCCCAGATACCTCTCTTTTTTTTTTTTTACTTAAAAATTAACACAAAACTCTTTCTGTAAAAATTCAGAAGATGAGAAGAGGAAGAATTATTTCAATTCAGGCGGGAATCTTGAAATCACAAAAAGCGCCATCACAAAAAAAATAGATAAATATTTATGCTTATTTTTGAAAATATAAATTAGGTAAATCTCAAATTAATCTTGTGTAAATTGTAATAGAGTTGATCAATTGCTAATGTTTCTTTGTTTACCTGCAGATTCCCAAAGAAAAGATTATCGTAATTAAAAAATGAACTAACTTTTTTTAGGTTAATTATATGCAAATATTCATTTAAATCGGCATTAGTAAATAATTATTTGTGATTTCAACCATTCTTAAATGAAAATGTTAGTATTCCAATATAAAATCTTTGATAAAGTCGGAACGAAAATTGGCTTCATGAGTAAGTGATGTATTTTGTAATCCAACTAAACTATAATTATATAAATTATATAGTAAATTATTTTGGCTGGCGACCCCCTAACAATAATATTGCAAAATATGCTAGGCTAAAAACCGTCGGGATGTTGGCGTAATTTAAAGGCTGATAATTAAAAATACGAAATCGGTCATTGCGAAAGTAGAGAAAGAATTAAATTTTTTTGGTTTTTGCGTTTTAGTTTTTGATATTTTAGCAATAAGATTAATCTTTCAATCTGATTTTCTACGAATATCAAAGTTTAGCGATAAATTGAAGTATCATTTATATATGTTATCTAATAAAAATATATGGTATCGTCTTTAACTCGACAATAAAAATTGTAATAAAATAAAATTAATAAACCCGGTAACTTTATTCTTAAGATGAGAACTTTTTAATTACCGGTCAGACTTTCGAAAAAAAAAGTTATAAGCGTATGACTGGCCCAAATTTGAAACGAACAAATCACGTACATATAAAATTGGTCGAAATTTTATTTAATTTTGGCTAACATTATATATAATTTAATGCTGACCCGATTAATTATACTCGGAAAAATGATAATTATATTTTTTTTAAGCCGATAAACTTTTTTATAACATTTAAATTTGAAATTAATTATATTTATTAAATTGTAATGTAAAAACAAAAAGACAATAGCAAATTAGGATGTTATGTATTTTAGAATCAAATTATTACTGTTAAATAATTATTAGAAGATAAGACTATTGAAAAATTAATAGAGAAATTTCAGAGAATGAAATGAAATAGAAATGAAACTATTAAAGATTTTATTAAAAAATATTTTATAATATTTGAAGAAATAGGAAAAAACTTATTATTAAAGCTCTTTATTAGCATGAGATACGGTATACGAAAAAAGTTTTCATAATAAAAATTCAGTATAGAAAATTTTAATAATCGCGTAGTATATACAGTATATTTTATATGGTCACACAGCTTTTATTATCATAGTATTTTTTCTTATTGTGTTATAAATGATTGCTTGATTTTTTTTTACTATTATTCTTTTTTTCTTTATATTTTTATCTTATACAAAAATAAAACACTTGCATTCTATATTGTTTTTTTGATTCAATCTTCTCATTCAAATTAGGAAAAAACAGCATTTTTACATAAATTCCTTCTCTCAATTGATTAGGAATTTTCAACTGAAATATAATAATTATAAATCTCAAATCCATTTATGATTTACAAACTTTCTTTCTAATAAATAATCCTTTTATAAATAACTTTTTTAAACAAAATAACTCCATAGCCTTTTAATGTTTGTATAACTTTGATAGAAAAATATATAAAGAATTCAAATCTAAAATTATATTCTTTATACATTTAATTTTTATTAAGAATTTTATACAAAATTATCATATAAGTTTTAATTTTAAAATAACTTTATATAACTTTATATTTGAGTTATAAAATTTTATAACTATTTGAAATACTTTTTTTAATTAAAAAATTTTGTTTATTTAATAATTGAAGAGTATCATCATCAACAATCTTTATATTTTGACTATTTAAATGATAAATAATATTTCTTAAACATTAATAAATAATTAAAAAATATCTTATTTTATTAATGCTAAAAAAAAAGATAATAATAATCTAAATATCCTTACTAATATCATGTTAATTTGAAATTCTAAAAAAAGGTATAAATTAATAAATAAATGTCTGTAAAAATCCTAACCAAAAAATTTAGGTTTAAGTATAGATGATTTACAGATCAGTTATATATGAAATTTGAAATTAAATGATCAAAATAAAAATAATTGTAATAATCAAAATAGTTAAATTATTTTACCATTAGATAAGTGAAAAGTCAAAATAAACAAAATTATGTCATATCATATGATTTATAATATAAAAATTTGTAATTATTTAAAAAAAATTTATTTTGTTATTTATAAATCAGAATTTAACAATAATTTTTCCTGTTAGATTTTATTTAAAAAATATTATGTAAAAAATGGGTATATTTAAAAGTAACTATTGCTTAGTTTACAAATAAAAAATAAACTATTTTTCTTTTTTTTGTTCTCATACCTTTATCCAAAAATAGTCTATTATTAATCAAAATAGTATTATTTTTTTATTAAAATATATTTTTTATCACTTATCTCAGCTATTTTCCTATTTTTTTTTTTTTTTTTTTTTTTTGCTTACAAAAAGTAAACATCAGAATTGATAATAAAAATTTAATATAAATAATTCTATATGATAACTATTCATATATTTTTTTTTTAAACCAATATATTCTTTTAAAGATCTTTGACATCACATATTTTACCAATTCTAATAAAATTTTCTAGACTTTTACAATTGCATAATTTGGGTCTCATGCTATACTAGCTGTCAGCTAAAATTTAAACTGATAGATATTTTAACATAAAAGTTAAAGAATTAAAAAACCTCTATTAGAATTTAATGATATAAGTATTCTTATATTAGAAGGTTATTATAACTTAAATTAACTAAGTTAGAAACTTGTAAAATCTATAAATTTTTATTAGCTTTTTTAGTTTAATATTAATACAAATTACTTATTTTTATATTAAATTTAAATTTAAAATAATTATTAATCATTAAATAAATAAGAAAAATATAATAATAACCTTAATTATTATATGTCAATGGAGATTCTTTTAATAATTATCCTTATAGTATAATGAGATAATAAATTATTTTTGGACTAGTAAATATTTTTGCTTATAAAAATGTTTTAGGTAGTATTTTAATTTTTTCTTTTATATTTTTTTGATAAATTTTACAAAATTAAGAATTTAAATTAAATAAAATATATTATCACATCTTTAAAAAAAATTAACAATATTTACAACTTTTTTTAATGATTACTTGATTATTATTATACCAATAATAACAAAAAATAAACAAATTTCTAATTTTTCAAAAATAAAAGAATTTAAATAAAAATATTAATAAATAACCAAAAATTCAATTACAATTAAATGAAAATTTTTTATTATAATTGATAATAAAAATAAAGCAAAAATAAAACATTTTTTGAGAATTTAGAAAAAATACTTTTAATAACTAATATAGATTTATAGATGAGGGACGAAACCTCTTAATAACAGTCGAAATTTAGACAAAACTGTATTAAAATCATAATAAGAGATACAATAAAATTCATTTAATACGATAATAGCTAAAACTATCAAAACTATATTAAAAACATAGAAAAGGGTATGACAAAATTATTTTGAGAAAGTTTTAGCAGACATCTATAATAAGATTATTAAAAACATTATTTTAAAAACTAATACTAATATTTAATAAATATCTAATACTGCAAATTTTATAGTTATTATATTTGTTAAAATAAATATAAATAATACAATTATTTTATCATTATTCTAACTCAAACTAATAAATACACTTATTTTTATTATAGACTCCATATATACTAATAAAATAAATAATAACAGTAAATCATTATATATATATATTAGTGATAAAATAAAAAAAATAAAAAGTTACTTAGTTAGAAGAAATTGAAAATACTGAAGCTTTGTCTAATTATATTAATATGAAAGATTGTTTATATAATATAATTACTATACTAATATAATTTTATGTAATAAATTTAACTTCAAATATAAAGAAAATTTATATCTAAAAAATATAATACTATTAATTTACTATTTATTCATTTTAATAGTAATTAAAAATCAAATTCTAATTCAAAATAGAAAATTTATTATTTATTTTAAGATCATAAAATACTAAATCACATTATTATAAAAGTATTATAAATATAATATAATCTAATTTTTGATTGCTGATCTTATTCTATAACTTGTCTAGTATACAAATTTAAATGCTAAATTTTTTTTATACTATTTTTGCATAATTATATCAAAATTTCTTAAGCTTTACCCTTTATCATTAAGCTAATATAAATGAATGATTATTTATAATTCTGTATCACATATATAAAAATTTTTGTAATAGTGATTATTATTGATTATACAAATCACAATTGTATAATCTAATAATCACTTTTTGCTTTTTTAATAAACTAAAATAATAATAAAACTGATTTATTCCTTATGTTAAATTCTTTACTACACAAATCTTTAAAAATAAGTTCTGATAAAGAAGAGTATATATCTCTTTTGATATCTTA